TAAGACCATTTGACAGTTGTTTGAGTAATGCTTAGCGTTGAATGGCGTTTCAGTATGCGAAAATTCATTTAAGTGACGTTTGAGTGCAACTTAATTTGAGAGGTGCTTAAAAATTGAGAACTGCTCAGATATTGTTTTGAGTATGCGAAATGTAAGTTTAGGAGCTGCTTAACTATTTGAGAAGCCGTCAAATATTTAAATGGCGTTTCAGTATTCGGCCGTAAGATACCGCGCAAGCACTCTCAAATTTAACAGCTGCTTAAGACGATTTGACAGTTGTTTGAGTAATGCTTAGCGTTGAATGGCGTTTCAGTATGCGAAAATTCATTTAAGTAGCGTTTGAGTGCAACTTAATTTGAGAGGTGCTTAAAAATTGAGAACTGCTCAGATATTGTTTTGAGTATGCGAAATGTAAGTTTAGGAGCTGCTTAACTATTTGAGAAGCCGTCAAATATTTAAATGGCGTTTCAGTATTCGGCCGTTTATCTATAATATAAAATGAATCGCAAAATGTGTTGGTAAGCGCATAACTCAATAACGCCTGGACCAATTTTACCAATTCTTTTTTTTAAATGTTTGTTGAAGTCCAAGGATGGTTTTTACAGCGAGAAAAGTTTGAATAATTTCCGGGTAAACCCTAAAAAACTCGAAACTTCACCCCTAAGGGTAAAACGGGGTCCACGCGTACGAAGTCGCGGGCGGCCGCTAGTTTCAAATAAATTAACTTCTTTGTGGTCCAGTAGTAAGTAAGTTAAAGTTAACTCTTTGGAGTATAGAATTTTGGTTTTCATTTTCAGGATAGGACACTTCTGTTTTTCGATACGAAGTAAGTAGTAACAAAATAATATTCAATGAATAAACTCTCGCGTGTTATATTGGCGCCCTAATAAGATATGGTATTTCAATGCAGCGCACTTGAGAAGTGAATTCTTATTAAAATTTAATTAACACCAACTCACAGTTAGCGGGATATACAATGGGAATTTTAAAGACCATAAAATATTAAATTGAATTGATGCCAGATGAAATATGCAAGGTTAAAAAAATTTCGAAAGCTTGTATCGCGCATGGAATTTATTCCTCTTTTTTTCTGTTTGCGCTACAAGCTTTCGAAATTTTTTGAACCTTGCATACAATTATTTTTTTCGTTTTAGTACAACTGCATTTCAGAATAAAGCTTGTTTTTAAGAAAAAATATTTTTAGAATAATTTTATTTTACACTTTTTAGCACCTATCTCAATCTCTGGGCCCTGATCATCATTTAGCACCAAAGTGCTCGAAAAGACAAATCCAAAGAACCCAAATTCGATGGAATTCCGCTGTTTCGTTTAGGAGTTCCTATGGCCACCTCCTGACTCCATCATCAGACCAGCTCAATGGTACCATTGCATTGTCATCGTACTTACATAAGTATACCAAATTTCAGCTCAATCGGTTGAGGAGAAGTGGATCGTACATTCAGTTGCAAGATTTGTCCCACACATATTATTATGATACTAATAAAAGCTTGTAACAAGTGAAGTCACAATATAAAGCTTGTCAAAAGAGATTAGTGCCCGTTTTCACCATCTATCCCTAATTTTTAAGTGACCCCTATGATAACAAATAACAGGAATTTTGTATACATAGGGGTCACTTAAAAATTAGGGATTGATGGTGAAAACGGGCATAGGTAGATCATGATGCGGTCTTATTTCCCGAGACGCAATTTTTGCGTTGACTAATCTAGTTACTTAATATTGTTGATCGAAGAGTACAATGTAAAGGATGACAATGTTATGATTTTACTCATTCTTATTAACAGAGTTCATTTGTATGCAATTTTCCATCATTAAAATCATTATCCAACTATTACTTACTACTTTTATAATTGTATCAATTACGCATATTTTGTAAGTCATGACAGATGACTTTAATTATTCAATTACATGCAAATTCCATACAAATGTTGTTTTCTTGGGATTATTTTGTATCAAAAGGCCAAAGTTAACCATCATTACGACCTCTACATACTTCCATTAAATCTTCTATGTAGTAATGTAGAGAATGTAGTACAATTTTTCTCCTCAATGATTCTCCTGGTGAAGTGTTGTCAAATAGGATTTCTTTGCATTTGTGAGCTTTTATGAGCTATGAACGCGACTCTACTATAGATTTTCTATGGAAAAATGTTAGACTAACTAATGTTATCATGATAGAGACAGAATAAAAATGTCTCAACTACGAGATGAAGATTTTTCATACGAAAAAAAAGGCAAAAAGCCAACATCACGCGGTGTTCCCAGGCGGTCACCCATCCAAGTACTGACCGCGCCCGATGTTGCTTAACTTCGGTGATCGGACGAGAACCGGTGTTTTCAACATGGTATGGACGTTGGCGATGGAGATAATAAAATTTATCATAGCTTTCGGGTATTCACCACAATTACATAGGAATTAATCAAATAATAATAAATTAGGCCACTGATTAAATAAATTCCCTAGTGATACATACAAAGTTAAATATCGAATTAAAAAAAAATGGTACATAATTATGACTACAGAATGAGTGCTGCCATCTATGAACAAACGCTTAAGTCGAAACAGCGCCATCTAGCATACAACACATATAGCGTAAACTCACAACACAATTAGCCTGCTTGTGCAAGAATCAGTTGCAGGTTTCAAGTTTCATACATTTTAGTTTGCAATATCAACGACAGATGGCACTCAACCATATTTACTCAATAATAGGGCTCTATGAAATATTCAATTTATTTTTTAAAAGGATTCCTCTATTAAATAAATTAACTCATGGACATAAAATAAATTTAATATTTAATCAGTTAGGTAAGTCAACTAGATTTAATCAGCTAAATTGCGTTTGAAAGGTGTCTCTACATTTTTTTTTTACTAGGCTCCGTGTGTGGTTTGCATACAGAGAGTCAAGTACAATTAACTATTAATAAGTTGTTTTCGTGATTTAAAGAAGAAGATAGATGATAATAGTACGCTCTCGTTGAGTTAGTTAAATTGTGACGTAGCATTTTGCTGGAGCTGACGCAACTCCTTGAAAGATCTTGAAGTGATGTTAATAAAGCTAGGTATTACAAAATATTTTAAAACATAACTGCTAAAGAGGATACTTCATTCTCTCCCACCAAGAAATCCACCAGTCTCTACATTATTTTTAAGTTGTTATAACTAGTATGTTAATTATTTAATTTTTAGCATCTCAAACTAATTTGAAAATTATAAATAACTTGACAAAATCGAACTGCCTAAGGCGGGAATTGAAGCCACGACCTTCCGCTTGCCGGGCGACTATTCTTCCAACTTAGCTACTTAGACACTGGCACATTTTTTCAAGTTATTTATAATTTTCAAATTAGTATGTTACAACTAACATACTATTGTCTCTCTCTCAGAGGATGAAGGAAGAAGATAAAAATGCATATTATTTTTATTCTTAATGAATAAGTAATTAGATTTAGGTTGTTTTTATCAATCAAAATCAAAATCAAAATTATCTTTATTTGTTTAGACTAATTAAATTAGAACTTGCAAATCGTCAAATGCTCTTAAGGAGCCTATATTTGTCTCATTCTTTTTTTTTGCCCTACCAACGCTTCACTTAGTACCTACACTTGTTTTTCACCTTAGAGTCACCTGTTGTTTACCAGGAAAAACACACAACTACCTACCTTTTCAATAATAAGCTAATTAGTGTTGATTAAGAGCAATAAAAATGAGAGCAAAGTCTAATATACCAAGAGTCACGTATTCATACAAGAACACGTAATTTTTATTGGAATTTAATTAGATTTTAATGACAACCGAAGTTATTCAACATTATGCAATGTCCAAATTGACCAAAGGATGAGATCTTCAAAATCGATATCTGATGGAACTATCTAGATCAGTGGTTCCCAAAGTTGTCTGGGCTACGACTCATCTAATACAAATTTCCAAACTCGGGACCCACTTATCCCGCTGCCCAGCGGTTGGATCGGTAGGATGGTGTGTCGTTCTACAGGCAGGGCTCACTCAATCCATAGTTTGGGAAACCCTGATCTAGATAGATATGGGTAGTTATTATTTTAATCAGGGGTCTTGGATTCAGTTCTCAGGTTGGACACACAAAATCTATCGCTTTTTATTTACAACGAGAAAGCTTTTGGCCAGCATCTCATCCGAAGAACAAGCTCTATCGTCAACCAAAGCGAGCAGATATTTTTGCCCTCTCTGGAAATCGAACTCGGGATGTCTGTGCCTGAGACAGGCTTAAAAATAGACTTTAATATAATAAGTATGTATAAGGTGTGCTGGTTAAAATAAAAATCAGCCAAATGGGAGTCTATTCACATACGAAGGGCTTTGTACCCGGAGCCCTTCATTTGAATTTTGTTTTTAGGTATAACGTTTATTATTTATATTTTCATTTTGTTATGGCAATCGTAGAAATACTCTGTGAAAATTTCAGCTCCCGATTGTAGACTCATAAAATATTACATCTATCCTAACAGACCACAGGCAGACAAATGGGCTAGAGACAGACTCCCGTTCGTCAGTCCTGGATCTGTCAATAGGCCGTATAGGCCGCGGCCTAGGGGCGGCAGCGTCCTAGGGGCGGCAGATTTCAGATGACGCTTACTCGATTTCAGAAGATAAAAGTTAAATAAAGATCCAACCCCACCCTAGCCTACGGGCGGCAAACCTGTAAATCCGCCACTGCCGTTCGTAGATATCCTTTGAATATGAAACCCTAAAATGAGCTAGCTACCTCTAACTTATTCTCGTTCTCTACGTAGATAGGACAGCAAATTGATCCAACCGCATGCTAATAGGCCCATCTTCCAACTCAAGGCAGTTGGAAAACACGCAAAAGAAAATGTTAGATTCGATTGGCAATTTTATTAATTGACTGCATGACCTTTAACCATTACGCGGTTAAGACAATGCAATAAGATTGAAGTTCCTTTGGCATAACCCGAAGGCAAGACAAGAAGGCTGCGTTCGCGCAAGTTCAGTGTTATTTGAACGCGCTGAGCACGAGCTCGCGCATTTTGTAATTTTGGCGCGAATTTTGATTGTGTTGTGTTTCAGTGAAGTGCCTTTGTGTGTGGTTTGATGCTTGTGATTTTTAGAGGCTGAGTTTTCAAATCAAGTAAGTCTAATAATCGATTTTTAATATTTTTTCAGTTGTCATCTTTTGATAGTACGTCGTCTATCCTTTCTTTCAGAAAAGTCTTGAAAGTAGGTATTTTATTAACTGATTCAATCGATCATAGTGCAGATAGTATTCGGAAAATAAAAAAAGAAAATAAAAACTAAAATATAGAGTTCACATTTTTCACATAGTAAAAGCAAATTCACAACGACATTCATACTCGTAATTTTATAATCGTGCTCTAGAATACGAGATCATAAAATTATGAAGTTGAGGTAATATGACAACGTTATGTAAGTAGCGGCAGTACATAATATAGGCAGTATATAGCTAGCTTACTGCGGAAAGTGGTTTGAATTTAACTGCCTTAAAATAAAGCTAATGCCAGTAACTCTATCATATACTTAGTAATTAAACTGGACCGCAAAGAAGAAGGGTCGGTTTGAAAATCTTTAATATCTTCAAAAGTGTCTGAGCTTGCTTTATAAAATAAAGACTAAATGAATTCAAGCTTTTTTTTAATAAACAAAATAAATTGCGTAGTTTTTCCAGTATGTTTTATTTCATAAATTTTCTAACCGACCCTTTTTCTTTGCGGTCTAGTGTAGATATTATGTTAAATTATCTGTCACATGCATGGTAGAGCATTACTTTAAAAGAAGACCTCGACGAATTGGGTCCCATATGAAAGAAAAATTTTAACAATCAAACTGCTTTTAAGTGAAAAACATGACCCTACGTCAGATACTTAAGTATTTAAATATTTTAAATACGTTATATCAGATTTAATCATAAACATCAAACCGGTATTTATTTACATTATCATAATTTAATTAATTTGACTTGCTGATAGCATCTAGTTAAAAGCCTACAGAATCAATCACGTGTTTCAAGTTTATTCACAACTACTATACGATACACAAGTTAAATAATAACATTCAATCATAACGAACTAACAAATGTGAAATTTACATAAAATGTTCGAACTAAAGTTATCAAAACCCAGGATCTTTAATAGAGTTAAACTCTACATTGTAGTTGTTAGTGATTAAAAATCTACCTTCTTAACTTGAAAACTTCCAGTCCTTCCTTAATAAACTTACTGTTAGGACTTTTTTTGCCTGCACTGATCATGACCGAGAAGCAAATGGAGGATTTGTCCTACACTCCCCACGCTAGCTGGCCACGCGAGTACGGGAGGCTGAATATGTTTGCATGTCCTTTTGTCGCCTCTTACGACATCGCGGGACTGTTCCCACTTCTCGTTCCCACCGCTGCAACTCCTATGTAGCCAGGATCTACAGCTTGACCGCCAATAAAAACCCAACCAGTGAAGGTGAAGTTTGTCCCGGGAAAGTTAAACTAAAGGGTCCAATACCCGCTACGAAATTATTCAGAAGATATGAGGAGTTCGAAGTTAAGGTTCGACTTCTTACGAAAGATACGTAGATATATTTCGTCGTTTTAGCTAAATGACATCCACTGCTGGACAAAGGAACGACCGGTCCTGCGCTGCTCGCATCCAGGCACCTCCTAACCCTCACTATTAGAAAGAAGAACGGTCACGCCCCATACAAAAAAAAACCCAGACCCGACAGAAACGAGACATACCTCAGTTTTTTTGTCATGTCTTAATTAGTTAAATTATATATTTTTTATATTCGAAATCTATGTTTAACACCAAAATATTACCCTTTGTTTTTGTTCAGTCGTTATACAAAAACTAATACAAAATGCCTATTTATCACCAAAATTGGTAAATTTACCTATGTACCTAAATGTCTATTACATCTGCTATGGAATGTATCTAGGTGACCTGGAGATACAGCCGGATTATACAGGGTGGAAACGATAAGGGATCTCACTCGATTATTTCTAAACTATACAAGATATAAAAAAACTAGTTACTGATTCTGAAAGTGCTTCACGAGCTCTGTATCAAATGGTCACGCGCCTGGGTCACAGATGACCGTTCTTCTTTACTTTTGATTATTCTTATAAGACTTTAGAGTAAGTAATCTTAACCTGTCATTTCAACATTTTAAAACAGGCTTACTGTCAACACGTGACTGGAGATCGGTACAAGTTTCGAAAGACATTGGACCTTAAGATAATGAATATTTAAACTATTTGTTCAACAGGTTATGAGCTTGACCTTAGTCGAGATGACAATCCTTCTATGGCTGGTTGCACCATCTTACTTTAATTTGAAAAATCTGTCAAACTCCATACAAAATACATTGATTATCGTTATAGTTACGGTTAAAGTTAGATGGTGCAACTCAGCCTATGACGGTTAAATTAATAAAACATGTTGTTTAAGTTACTAGGTAGATATTTTTCACGGATCGTCACCTTAAAGTTAATAAAAAATTAGTACTACGTAACTCTACGTTTTTTTGCCTTTAACAATACATAATATCCACATATTGTATTTATTTTGAAAGTTTTAAAGTAAGTAATATTAAAATGCGTAACTTAGGATTTATATTATGCTACCTAGTACAATATCTAACAGATTCCTTTATTTTTAACAGATGAAACAAGATCTAATATCCTAAGTTATTTTAATGATACTTTGAAACATTTGAGGTAGTAAAATCAAATAAAAAAGAGATTGCTTTATTGACCCTTATGATGTACCCTGTACACAATAATGATTTTCTATTGTAAATTTTATTATTTACCAAACAGGTGTTTTAGAGTTTATTCTCATACTAGCTTTCCGCCCGCGATTTCGCCCGCGGCCTTTCAAAAACCGGGATAAAAACTATCCTATGTCCTTTCCCGGGACTCAAACTATCTCTATGCCAAATTTCATCAAAATCGGTTCAGTGGTTTAGGCGTGAAAGCAAGGCAGACATACAGACAGACAGAGTTACTTTTGCATTTATAATATTAGTAAAGATAGTAAAAAGATTTTATTGTAAAACGGCAGCTGTTACCAACTCAGCAACTCTGACGCAGAGTAAGCAGCGGATAGGTAGGTACATACTTCTCTATGAATTAACATCTGTACGTGATTATTTGCGTAAAAATCTCACAAAGGCAATTCTTTACATAATAAATGTAATATTAAAAGTCATAGATATGTATGGAATATTTTATATTTACTCGTTAAATGGTTATGACAGTATACTATTTTTATCTAAAATACGGATGGATGACAAAGGTCACCTTTTTTACATGGATAAAAACTTAGTAAATTCCAAGAAAAAAAAAATCAAACGAAAGCGAAAAGCCACCAACCAACCATTGTGGAAATCATTGGAGGAGGCCTATGATCAGCAGTGGACGTCCTATGGCTGAAATGATAATGATGATGAGGAGGTGTAGAAATAGGTCTTTAGCGACAGCAGTGTTTACTTTAAGTAATAAAAAGATCCATAATTGATATCTCGAAGCAAAGTAAGGTTTGAAAACACACAAACAGTGTACTTTTATTTTGGCCAAACTCATAATAACAATAAATAAAAAACAGGCAAAAATACAAAAGATTCACTATTCCTATCTTTGCAGTCTGAACTCAGTGTAAATGTAATGGAAATTCAAATGATTTTGCCAAATATCCGCCACACGTACTGCCTTCCGCTTACACCACCGGCGCGCGCGCATCGCGATGGTACGAAAACGTACAGCCGATAGCACATCACACTTTGTGCCAAAATAGACTTTATTGCAGGTACATAAGGTGCCACAGTGATTACTTTTATGTGCCGTAGTGTGTACCTAATTCTATGCATGGAAAACTCGAGAATAATTTTCCTTCTATGTACTAACATAGGGCCGCGGTTTCAGTAGAAAGACTACTCCCAATCTTCCCGTGGATGTTGTAAGAGCTACTTAGGCTTCTTTGACCCATCTGGCCAGTGAGACGAGTGAAGGCTAAATCCTTCGATTGCTTAGGGTCATGTTCTTGTAGTGGAGACCAAATTTCAATAACCTGATGATGATTTTTCAACCGACTTCAAAAAAGGAGGAGGTTCTCAATTCGACCCGTATGTTTTTTTTTTCTATGTTTGTTACGCGATAACTCCGCCAATTATGAACCGATTTGAACAAATCTTTTTTCGGCGTATAGGTAATACCTCAAGGGTGGTCCCATTTAAATTTAATAATAGAAAAAACAACCCCCAAGGGTGGAAAATTGGGGATGAAATTTTTTATTCGCAATATCTCCGCCGATTATAAATCAATTTGAACGATTATGTACGAGTATTTTTTATTCATCTAATACAAAATAAAATAAATATCCTTGGACTGCGCCTTCTTGTCCCAAACTAAGTAAAGCTTGTGCTATGGGTACCAGACAATGGTTTAACGGTTCCACCTTCGGCCTGTGTGCCTACCATGAGTTTACGTTAGGTGTGCTCGCTAGCGACTGCGTAAAAAATGACTTTAATTGTATGACATATTGTGCAGCGCCCCTAGCGGCTACTTTCAAGAAACAAAATCTTCATAGAGATTTTTGACGTACTCGCTAGCGAGCACACCTAACGTAAACTCATGGTAGGTACACTGATGATGATTTTGTACGAGTATTTTTTATCCATCTAATACAAAAAAAATATCCTTGGACTGCGCCTTCTTGTCCCAAACTAAGTAAAGCTTGTGCTATGGGTACCAGACAATGGTTAAACGGTTTCACCTTCGGCCTGATCATCACTTACCACACACTATTTATTATTGTTATTATTATTATGTAGATTCTAATTTTGTAAAATTTGCATGCCTACCCTGGACAAAACATGTTGGACTTGACATTTTCTATCGACCATTTTGTTACCATGTTTCTGAGCAAATAAATGATTTATTATTATTTATATTTATTATTATTACCATCNTTACCATCAGGTGAGATACAGGCAGAGAGCTTCCTCGTTGTGGATAAAAAAAAAACACATACTGAAATCCTTTTTTTTTGTAAATACATATTTTAGAGAAACCACCCACACTTATGCGTGGTACCTAAAAAGAATAAGGTGTTTAGTTTATTA